GAGAGAGAGAGAGAGAGAGAGAGAGAGAGAGAGAGAGATCAACACCCCCCGTCTAGCTGGCCGTGTACTGCCAGTCAAGAGTCAGAGACACCTGAGGCGAGGGCAACAAGGTGGTCGAGAGCTGGACAGGCGCACCATCGACCCGGCGGGCGCTCTTGTCCCGCTGTGTGAAGAGCGCGTAGCCTTTTCGATACGCGCAGCGGCACCTCGATCAGCTAGCTACTGTAGCTAGCTGCGCACGAGATGAGCCAAAGGTGCCGGGTGGGTCAGGCCTCGTCTTGGCTGCCCACAGGTACAGCTAGGCTGGCTACGTCGCGTAGGGCGGGCGTGTCGAGACCTCGTGACCGGGTCGGTGAGTGGCTATGGCGCGCGCTGATGGCAGTCACCAGTCACCAGTCGAGTTGGTGATGATCGCTATGGTGTCGGAGTGACTGATGATCGAGCCACGCGGGACAGCTCGAGTTGCTGATGGATGAGCACGAGAAGCGGTCAGGTGCGAGTCGAGTATGGCAACAATCAAGCTGGCGTAGGGCTGGCTATGGCTAGCGCCATTCAATGTGAATTCGGAATTCGTCACCACAGCACTCATCAGACTCATCAAACTCACACTGCGTCTCCCGTGTACTGTGACTGTAGGTGAGCCGTGCATGCAGCTAGCTGGACACATGTGATTCACGAATTCGTGATTCAAGATTGACTCTGACTCGATAACTTTTGTATACAACAAGCACGCAGGCACATTTGATTCACAACACAAGTCACAAGCACAATGAATCTCTGGCAGGCAACAGAATCACTCAACTCGCAACTACTACTACTATCGTGAGTGAGAATCTTGAATGGCAGCACACTCACGACTCAAGCAGGCTTGACACATCATCCACACTCAAGACTCTTGACTCACTGCACACTGAGCTGCTGTAGCGGTAGCGGATGCTGTGCTGATGCGCCTTCATGCATGGCAGGCATGGCTCGCAGTTGCAAAGCCTCTGCTTGCGTTGCGTGTTGCGTGCAAATCACGAATCTTTGAATCTTGAATGTAGCTGCGAGTGACACAAAACAATCTTGAATACAACAGAAAGGCGCAAGGGGAATTAAGCGTGCATGAATGAGCCTCTCTTCATTCTTGATTCTCGAACGCGTGCATGCTCCTCGCATACGCGCGTGGGTGCATAGCGCGCCATTTGATTCAAATTCTCTCGTATCGAATCGTGAATTCAATTCCAAAATCCTGAAAAGGTCTGTGGGGAGGACATGCAGCAGCTGAGCAGGAGGAGCGAAGCGGCATGCATGCAGTTGAGTCTTGAATGGCCCCCATCATCGTACATCACATGCGTGTACAGTCACAGTACGCTGCGTGGCTGCCTTTCATGCATATGCATGCGCCAGAGCTTTAAACTCAGGGACTTAGGTGGAGAGCAACACCAGGCACCACTACAGTCTGCTGAGTACCCCCAAGTCGTGAGCAGAGACAACGGTCACATGCAATTCAAGAATCGTGAATTCAAGATTCGTGATTATTTTTATGGACTTTTCATGAAAACGTGAGAGATCGAATCACGAATCAAGAATCATCGTGCATCTTGAATCTGCCAAACACGAATGGCTACACCAATCACGCATGGAAATTTGAATCCTTTTGTCTCGATCGTCCAGATGACGTGTCCCGGCCTGAGCTGGGCCCAGCGCAAGGAGCTCGTGCAACGACGTACAATTACACATGAATTGAGCGATACAGCACATCGGGAGTCGTTCAGTAACGTGGTTCGGAGGAAAGGGAGCATGGCCTGACTGACCATTCCTCTGAACGCACACACGGGTATCCAATCGTGTGCAGTCTGCTGAATGCGCAAAAGAGAATGGGACGGCCGCGACAGATGGCAGGCGTAGAGAGATGATGCTGGTCAATTGACAGGCTTGACGAGACCTCTGGCGAGTTTGTAGTACACCACCGTCGAATCGTTGGACAGTACGGCAAGCAAGAAATATTCCTGGGCGATCCGAGGCACCTCATCTTCCCTTTTCGACTCCTCGTCGTCGTCGTCGTCGTCGTCGTCGTCGTCGTCGTGGTGTGACTGCGCGGCGCTTGCTTGCGCATCGCTTGTCGACGGTGATGCGGAGAGATGTGGAGTGGATGCAAAGATGTGGATGAAGCTGGGGCAAGTGGCAAGGCACGCGAGCGCGAGCGCGAGTTCAAGACTTTTGCTCCGGCATGCAGCGAACTTGAGAACTTGGAACCCCCCCGCTCCCCCGAGAAGGCCAACTGTAGCGCAAATCAAAGCAAACGCTTCTCGTTTGTCCACTCACTCTTCGGCGCTCCATTCATGGTGCACGTGGCAAGGCAAGACGACTTCCTGAACATTCTGTTCCGCCCTGAGACCCACGAGCGCTGCGAGAGAGCGAGCGTGGTGGGATGTGCTCGTTGCACCAGCAGCAGCAGCACCAGCAGTAGCGTTCAAATCGATCGGTCGAAGATGTTTCCATTTGCCTACAAAGAGCAGATCTTCCCACGTACGGACCAGAGGGGCGGCTTGATCTGGATGAGCTCTGGCCAATCGGAGCAGCTCGTCGGGCTGCAAAAGCCCCGACCGGGCCGACCATATGAGCGCGCGCACAGTCTGAAGAACGCTTCGAAGCTTGCTTGGGTCCCAACTTACGAGGCTTTGTCGACTGGGAGGCAGCTGCGGGTGCAGGTGCGGATGCGCACGCAGAGGTGCGCTCGAGTCTTGCTCCTTGCTAGCATCACCATCCACCACTCTTGCCATCTTGCCCCCCGCCAACTTGCGTGCTCCGCTGTGCGACCGGCTTTGCCCCGACGGTCCAGTGTGTATGCGCTTGATGTTCCGAGTGAGCGCACGACTCGCACCTTCGAGAGGCAAAGGAAGGTGCGTAGTGAGCAAAAGCAAGGAGAGAGGTGTTCGAAAATCTTGATCCTTCTCGAGTTGCTGATCTGAGTCACGAGTCAGAATCATGAATGCCCAAGTCAAAGAGTCACGAGTCACGAGTCACGAGTCAAGACAAGAGTCGAGTTGTGAGCAAAAAGTTTTGAGTCTTGTAATTGAACAAAATTTGAATCAAAATCTGAATCTAAAGAATCAAATGATCAGTCACAGTCGTGAGTTTGTTTTGAAATGGGCGCGAAATTTCTCATTCACGTGACATTAGCGCAATCGGTGGGGCTAGCTGCAGCAAAGAAGCGCGGCGCGGCGCAGTAGGCAGAAGTGAGCCAAGTTAAGCACTCGCAGCGAACAGCGAGCGTGCGCGCCCATGCAGCCAGCAGCCAGCAGCCAGCAGCCCAGCGGGCAGCGTCGGCATGCAGAGCAGCAGGGCGGGCGAGTTGAGTGAAGAGTGAAGAGTCGTGAGTGGTGAGTCTGGGTCTGAGTTGCGAGTCAAAAAGATGACTGACTGACTGACTCACTCGTGACTGACTGGACTCACACGCGCCAGTCGCGCGTCTCAAGAATCAAGGCTTTGAGCCGAAGCCGCGCGGCTGACCATTTCTGATTCGTGATTCTGAGTTCCTCCTTCACCGCGCACCCACCAGCTCAATCTTGCATGCGCCTGCGCCTGCCATCTCTCCAAGCGCCCCTCACCTCACCGCTTACGGGGATCTGCCTTTGTCATGCCAGAGTACATCTCTCCTGCTGCTGGTGCCGGTGCCGGTGCTGGTGCTGGTGCCAGCGCAAGCGCCAGCGCCAACACTGCAGCGCTGCCAAGCAACGGACTGGCGCGTGCAGATCAAATCCAAGCTGCAACTGAAGGGCGAAGCGCCATGCCGTTGGGCAAGACGGTGCTGATCGACAATTACGATTCCTTCACCTACAACGTCGTCGAGGTGAGTCGGGCGATGATGGCGATGGCGATGGCGATGGCGATGGCGATGGCGATGACAGATGCAAAAAGGAAAGCCTGAATCTCTCCCCCGCCTTGCACGGCTCAGTTCTTGTCAGAATTGGGTGCGGATCTGATCGTGTACCGCAACGACAAGGTGACGCTGGAAGAGATCGAAGCTGTTCAGCCTGTCAATATCGTCATCTCGCCAGGACCGGGTCATCCGCTGCACGACTCTGGCATCTCCATCCCTCTGATCAAGCACTTTGCAGGTCGCATACCCATCTTGGGCGTGTGCATGGGTCTGCAATGCATCTACTCTGCCTACACCGGTGTCGTCGAATTCGCTGGCGAGATCCTGCACGGAAAGACCAGCGCGGTGGCGCACGATGGCCGCGGACTGTATGCCGGTCTACAGCCTGCCGCAGTGGTCGGCACGCGCTACCACAGCCTGGCAGCTCAGCTGACAAGTCTTCCGCGAGAATTGGTGGTGACGAGCAAGACGGAAAGCGGGGTGGTGATGGGCATCAGGCATACCAGGCACACCATCGAAGCGGTGCAATATCACCCAGAGAGCATTCTCAGTCGAGGTGGAAAGGAAATGTTTGCCAACTTTTTGAGACTCAGAGGAGGCACTTGGGCTGAGAATCCTCAGGCAGGAATCGATGAGGAGGCCATTGCTCAAGCTGAAGCCACAAAGGAACCGGTCATGGCCATGACTCAAGCTGGAGCTCCTGCTGCTGCTACCGGTGCCGCTGCTGCTGCTGGTGCTGCTGCTATCGCTACCACTGCTTCTGCAGCAGCTGTGGCCGCCGCCGCGGCTAATGGCAATTATGGAAACCCTACAGCTCAGAACGGGACTTCAACGAGTCACACTGCAAACGGAGCAGTGGGCACAATCTTGGAGCGCATCCACGTCCAGAGGCTCAAGGACATTGAAGTGGCAAAGCAAGTGCCTGGACAATCGCCAAGGGATCTAGCGACCAACATCGACATGCACCTTGCACCTCCTCTCATCGACTTTGTTGCTCGGCTGACCGCGAACGCTAGTCGAGGATTGCCAGGAGTCATGGCGGAGATGAAGCGGGCTAGTCCCAGCAAGGGAGACATCGATCCGCATGCGCACGCGGGGGCTCAGGCACTGGCGTACGCTAGAGGAGGCGCAAACGTCATCAGCGTCTTGACAGAGCCCAAGTGGTTCAAGGGAACGCTCAACGACCTCACTTTGGCGCGCAAAGCAGTAGACGGAATGCTCGACCGACCAGCCATCCTTCGCAAAGATTTCATCGTGGACATTTATCAGGTCTTGGAGGCTCGCGCCGCTGGCGCGGATACCCTGCTGCTCATCGTCGCCATGTTGACGGATGCGCAACTGAGAACACTGTACGATGCGAGCACGAGCTTAGGCATGGAGCCGTTGGTGGAGGTGAACAATCCCGAAGAGATGCTTCGAGCCATCAAGCTGGGAGCCAAAGTGATTGGCGTCAACAATCGCAACCTGCACGACTTTAATGTGGATATGGGAACGACCAGCAGATTGGCGGAAAAGGCTAGAGAAGCTGGCGTGGTCCTTTGCGCACTCAGCGGCATTACCGGAAGGGGTGATGTGGAAAAGTACCTCAAGGAAGGGGTCGGCGCGGTGCTTGTTGGTGAAGCGCTGATGCGAGCCGCCGATAAGAGGGCCTTCATACACGATCTTCTTGGTCTGCCTGATTCGGCAGCTTCTACACAGCTAGCGTCAGAAGCTCCTGCAGGCCCTTCGAGCGGCATCTCCGCCTTTGGAGCAGGCGTTCAAAACGCATCAGCACGCGCTACTGCCCCGCTTGTCAAGATTTGCGGCTTGCAGACCGTCGATGCTGCCGTCACTGCCACGCTCGCAGGGGCAGATATGCTGGGCATGATTCTAGCACCTGGAACCAAGCGGACCGTGCCTCTAGCACAGGCGGCGGAGATCATCAACGTCGTCAGATCCCTGCGAGGAGGTCAAGAGTCTGTGAGGAGCGCCGTGTCTAGTCTGACGGCAAAGCAGGCCTTGAGGGACGCTGAAGCCCAAGCTGCGGGCTCTAGCGCTGTCGGATCTGTTGCTCTGACTGCTGCGATGACGCACGTGGCGGGACAGGATTGGTTCGAGTACCAAGCAGATCTCATTCGCTCTCATCCGCACAAGCCTCTGATTGCGGGTGTATTCAGAGATCAGCCGCTGAAAGAGGTGGTTGAGACTGCCACGGCTCTCAAATTAGACGTCGTACAGTTGCACGGAAGAGTGGAAGAGGTGGAGTGGAGCAAGTATCTGCCCGGAGTGATTGTCATTCGGGTGTTTCACGTAGGACCGAACGACGGTGCGGGATCTTCGAGTCTTCGAGAAGCAAACCGACCTGGCTACCATCACATTTCTGCCCTGGATACGGCGGGCACAGCATGCAGTTCCAGCGGTGGAAATGGCGGAACAGGCCAAACGTTCGATTGGGCGGTCGCGAACCGGTTCGCGAGATGCGATGCTGCAGCTGCTCGGGTACCCGGCGCAGAAGCTAGAGTACAACCGCTCATCCTTGCCGGAGGACTCTCGGCGGAAAATGTGGCGATGGCGGCCAAAGCTGTTGGAGAGGGTGCTCTGCTCGCTTTGGACACTAGTTCGGGCGTGGAGACGGATGGTAAAAAGGATGCGGCCAAGATTCAGGCATTCTGCCAAGCTGCAAAGCAAGCCTTTCTTATTTCTTCTACATGATCCCGTCGACTTTTTTTCATAATGTCAATGTGCTTGCCTCCCTTG